GGGCAAGCCCTCCCTTGCCAACCATGCCAGCTCGGTGGCGGAGGCCTAAGATCAAACTGAGTTCCCACGGCTGGAAAGAAACACAATTGACCACTAGCGGAGAAGTGCTTGCCAGACGCCTCCGCTTCTGGCGCGGCATCGCCTGGGGCTGAATTCTGATCGCCCACGGTGACCACCTCGGTCTTTTCCTGCCGGGCAGAGCCTACCCCAAAACACAGCTCCTCCCGCTGCTTTTCCCTGGACTTCAAGAAAGGAGTTGTCATCAGCAGGGCTGGCTCTTGGCAAAACAACCCTTGCGTCTCCGAAAGAAGGAAAAGCTTAGCAAGATGTTTGTCCCCAAAAACAGAGGTTTCCTGGCCCGGATAACCCTGGCGCCGTCTCTTGGCCGCTGGCCAGCTCTGGCGGGAAGGAAGAGGCCCGAGGCCAGCAGGGCGCTGGCCCTGGGAATGGGGACTTGGCTGGCCAGCCTCGGCTTCCCTCCCCACCACTTTCCCCGCGTATTTTCCACCTGGTTGACTTTTTGCAATGCGGATCCAAAGTCCAGCCCTTAAAAATAAAAAAAAAAGGGGGGGTTCTCAGATGGTGCCCTCCCTCTGGAAAGACAGGAGACCCTCTGCCTGAGCTGTGCGCAACAGGCCCTCCAGGGCTCCCTTTGCACCAGAGCCTCTGAGCGGGTGCAGAGTGTGGCTCCTTTTCGGCCCCGCAAAGTTGGGGCGAAGATCCAACGTCGCTCCCCGAGCGCCGTGCTTCTAGCATGCATCTGAACAGCTCTGGGGGGCTCCTCTGCCTTTCCTACTTCTGACCGAGAGGTAGAGTGCCCCTGGGGGTGGAGGCTCCATCTCTGCACTCACATCTGAGGGTGACCTACTCCAACACCTGATTCTCAGAGCGAAGGAGGAGGCCTCTGGGGAAATTGCACCGTGTGCAGCAAAGATCAACCTTCCTTTGCCGTGGGTCACCAGCCTGGAGACAGAGATCCAGCTGATCCACCAGGCTGCAAGGCTGCTCCCTTGCCTTTCGTTCAGGCGGCCAAGGCAGCCGACGGAGCGTTCCCTCCGCCGCTTTTGCCCCACAACAACCCTGCAAGGTAGGCTGGCTCCAAGTCACCCAAGTCAGCTTCTGTAGCTGAGGAGAGATTAGAACCTAGGTCTCCCTGCTTCGTCCAACCCGTTCACCCTCCTGTTCTGCTCATACGGCCCCGTGGCAAAGAAGTAGGCAACGTGGAGCCTCCACATCTGGAAAAGGCCGGCCTGCTAAGGATCTGTGCCTGAAGAACAGCTGAAGAAAAATCCCCAGAAACAGGGGAAAGAAAAAAAAACGGGGGGGGGTCTGTTCTGGCTGGTTGCAAAAACAACCAGAGAACCAGAGGATGGACAGGGCTCAAGCTGGGGAGGGGGGAGGGAGAGAAGACCACCTGGAGAGGACCCCCCCTCGAGGTTTCCACAACAGGACGCAGCTGTCCCGGTTCTCTGCAAAGAGAAACACGCTCTTCAAAACAACGTCCTGATGAGATTAACCCTGCCGGTCCCAGCAGAGACTCAAGAGCGACCCAAAATCAAAACCACTGCAACTCCCCCTATGCTCAGAGGCACAGCCATCCCCCTCCAGACCCCACCTAAGCGATCCAAAGGATCGATCTTGGAACGAGATGCCGAAAAAGGGGTTCCGACGCCCATTCGGCCTCCGGGGCTTAAAAGGACGTTTCTCCTTCCTTCTGCCTTGATGTGCAAACCCGGATCTCTTCCCCGCGCACTGTCCGACCCCCCCATTTGTAATCTGGGAGCAGCAATTACAGAATCAAGAGCCTTGCTTAAGCGAAATGCAGATTCGCAGACCTTGCCAAGGCAGCAAGACTCAGCCATCTACCCCCGGAAACAGAAAGAGAGCTGTTGGAACTCCCTGCCACTAGAAACTCGCCTGGGACGGGGGTCTGGGTTCAAAACACACACCCCTGGATGCAAGTGGTTACAAAGGGGCTTCGGGCTGCCCATCCAGGCTTAAAAGGTGAAAGCTACTGATATTTTTCAGGTTGGCAAAAGGCAGAGGGGTGGAGGGGAGGGTTGTCTGGAACTGGCACTGCCCGGTCTTCCCTACGAAGTCCGCCTTCTCCTCTTGATTCACACCCTTGTCATTCTGCCCAGGTACAGACTGGGCTGCGTGCCAGGAACAGGCCTACTCAGTGGATGTTTACAAATTCCAACCTCTCTGCTCGGTTTCCCTCCTGCCAAGGTGGAGAGGGGGGCCCTGTGACGGCCCCCCTGGGCCTTTTCTCCCCAACCAAGCTTGCTTCTCCAGCTCCGGAGGGGGGCTCAGCTGCCCATCCAGGTTTGGGGCTCGATCCCACAGCACCCAAGCGCTAGGCCAGAAAGTCAAAGGCGCAGAGGGGGGCACCGAGACCCAGGGCTGGGGGGGGAGATGTTGCTGGAGAGGGAAAGGGGCGTGCCAGCGTGCGAGAAGACCGCACGCCCCAGCACTGCCAGCAGGCCTTGGAGCTGACAGTAGATTTAAAGGGCTGCCTCGCCCCGGCTTGGGGACCCAAGTTGGGGGTTCAGAGAACACAGGGAGGGGGAGACCCAGACTGGAACGGATGAAGTGGGGCACTGGGGTGGGTCAGGCTGTAGGGGAGAACCTCCCTCCAACCCTTGCAGGAAAAAAGGGGCCCCAACTGCAGGCCAGCTCTCT